CTGCTAGTATTCGAGTATCTTTAAATGGTGAATACTATCCCAACGAACGTATGCAATTGGACTTTGCAAACAATCACTTTACTGAAGCTCATTTCAACTATAGCGACTTTCAAACCAGCTATACAACTTCTTCTTCTCCTCTGAAGAGATGTCTTTTAGATTATACCGCTTTTAAAAATCGCGCTTTGTTTGTTATTGACTGTTCCAAACAAGAGGAAACCATGAAATCATCAACTGTTGATGTTAGATTGGATATCGAAGCCGATACTGGCTTTCCAACCAACACCAAGGCCTACTGCATCATTATACATGACTGCTTAATCGAGTACTTCCCCCTCACCGAAGTTATTAAAACCATCTCGTAAGCAACGAAGGACTCTCAGTTCCGCATCAGACATCATGAGGATCGCGTTTGTTGACATTCAAGGCTTTACAGTTGACGGATTATTCGTACCTAAAGAACTATGTATCGAAATTGGTTTCAAGAAAAGTCATTACATCTTTACACCTCCGCAACCTTTTTCTACATTAAATACTAAAGACAAGAAAACTGTCGCTTACTTGGAGAAGAATTTCCATGGGCTTAAATATTCTTCCGGCGACGTTAAATATTCCAAGTTAAATGAAATAATTAAAAATAAGGTGATATATGCGGCTGACTATGTCTACGTTCGTGGAGAACAGAAAGCAAACTTTTTACTCAAGAAATGTCACATTTTTGGTGTTTTTCCCAACATTATTGATGTTTGCAAGTATGATGGTACACCGTGTGCTACTGGAAACTTTGTTGCTGATTCCAATCCATGCCACACCAACGGACAATTTTCCTGTACCCAGAGAAATGTTGAACGTCTACGCCACTGGTTTTCAAATATCATATTACCTATGTAGTTTTTTCTATTTTCAATAAAATATTAAACGTATTATTGTAGTTTTATTGAAAATACCTCTGGTTTGCGAAATAATTGTCAGAATGTCTATACTATTTTCATTTTGAACGGTATCATCCTGTATAATAATAACAGTACATCGTATACAGGTTATGAGACATTCTGACCGACCGACCGACCGACCAGAGGAGCCCACCACGCTATTTAGGTCACGCCTTGCTATATACGATTTAACGATATACCGTCGGTCCATCGATCCGCTATTTTTCGATGCACCCCTGTATACACGTTGCCCCCCGTAATCCACGCCAACACCAGACAGGTGCGACATCGGCGCCATCTATGCGCGAGATGCCCAACCCATCAATGGCAGCTGTCCAATGACGCATAGATTCCGTTAGGTTTGTACAGCGCCAAACAAATCGGCGCCATCTATGCGCGAGATGCCCAACCCATCAATGACAGGTGTCCAATGACGTATGACAGATGACGTTTTAACGCCATCTATGCGTGAGATGCCCAATGACGCATGACAGGTGTCCAATGACACACAGATTCCGTTTGGTTTGACAGCGCCATCTAGCGGCGGAATCCCCAACTCATGAATTTCGATTACAGATTCCGTCCAACAACCTGTCAATGGCGCGCGACGCCAGCGCCTCTGGTGGCGGATTTTGGAAGTTTTGAGACCGAATCCCCATAAGACATCTACTAACTTTGTTACTTTAATTTTACCAGAAAAATGTTAAAGGAAAAAAACATTTCTTTTGATCAGATCTACTCACTGTTAAAATAAATGACTCAACTTCGAAGTCAAGTATATCTAAATAAATATTTTATACAGGGTGACTTTGAAGTTGAGTCATTAATTTTCAGATAATGATTGTAGAAGGAAGATAAACCAAAATATGTGTGTAAAAATAAAAAAAAATTAAAAAAAAATTTTACCTTGTTTTATAAAGTATCCTCCCGACAAGTATTTCAGTGCGGACCTGTATTTGATCGTGAGGTCCCCTGTGAGGTCTTAAGTCACCTGATTCACGAGCCCGTTGTACTACATTAACAAAGGCACGAGGGGTTGGTTGCACTCGATTGGGAAACCGATCCGCATAAACATGTGCCATTTTTTATTTCGTTTGAGCCACGCAACAGACACTATTCACACGCGACTGAAACTGACTGTATGTATAACTGAACTGAATTGTAATCGTAAAAACATCGTTCCAAATTCTTTCGCTTTTTTGTTTCCGATGCGATGAACCGTTGTTGCCAAACACGAACACATGATATTATTGAGACAGGGCGGTACTCAAACTTCCAAAGGGCTATAACTTTGTTACTTTAATTTTACCAGAAAAATGGTAAAGGAAAAAAACATTTATTTTGATCAGATCTACACACTGTTAAAATAAATGACTCAACTTCGAAGTCACCCTGTATATTTCCATGTATTCCGTGTCAGTGAAATCTAATATGATTGTTTAACCCAGTACTCATGACTGATCGGGCAAAATAACAAGTTAAAATTAGATATATACTGTCAGCCCTAATTACTGGCCGACACGGGTATTACGTATCTTGAAAAGTGCCGATTTTTTTGACATTGTATTGTTTTTTTTTTACTTTATGTAGGTTTTTCTACAAGATGTTACTCAGCACTTAGTTGTACGTGTTGCCTAAACGTCATGAGGCTTGAGTTATCAATGTTTGGCTCTGATATGCTGTAAAATCTGCTTCAGAGATGGAATCACTGCAGGTCTAAGCTGTAAGTTGTATGTGTGGATTTTTGTCTCAAATACATTTACTTAAAATTCAAAGCTAGAAATTAGTTGCGCATCCACTTTTTCTCATCCATTCTGGAAATTACATGTTATGTAAATTTGATAAATTTCAAAAATGAGAGAGATAAGAAATAATTATATTCACTGTACACTGTCGAATTACAAGTCATATACATGATAACAGTAATTACACATAACTCGGGCGGTGATTTCCCATAATTCTCCTCAAAAGTTTTTCGTAATTTATAACTTTGAAAATAACCAGTCTTCAGAAAGGACAACATATAAATAACCCGTCGGGCACTGCTAATAGATGTACTATATTAACAGCATATCAGTAATGATTTTCTCACACAGCACAGATTACTGATTTTATAAACATGCAGACCAATACACATAATCATCCAGATGCGATCTTGCTATTCAACCAACTTTCTTCTCAGAGATGATAACTACAGACCACTCGGCGTCACAAAACATATGCAACCAACAATGCGAGTAGTTTAGTTGAGTCATTCCTCCATAGATGGACGTTCACAACGATCGTAGTGAGCAATCGTGGAATGACTGTACCCTAAAAACTAAGTAGTCTGCAAAGATATTTTTATTTTATAGTTTTTTACGTTTTATAGGTTTTTTACATAATACCCGTGCCGGTACCATTAGAGTAGTTCAGTGTCAGTCACCACTGACTGACACGGCGATGTTTCAGTAATTCTAAAATTGTTTATTATGTATGTATGATAGGAGGGTGTGATTACTGTACTTTATGGATAGCACGCTACATTTCAACCATTTTTCGAGTTTCCGATAAGCATTACTTGGGATCATAAGCAAAAGATTTCACTGGGTTGCGCTCGTTCAGAGAGAGATTTCCCCGTCGACTTGCCCAGACTTAAATTCTAATATTTGTGTAACACGCCAATAGCTGCAAGCATATAGACTTGTATAACATTATACAATAACGTACTTCAAATTAGTCTGATGACGGAGCGAAACCTTACTACAACAGAAATACCTATAAGCTCATTAAATATGATCCTATTTTCTTTCACATGCTATACCTCCGAAGGTTTAACAAAAAAACACCACCAGTGAATGAAAATATTTATGAATGAGAAACGTTTCTTTTCCAGTCATGCAAAGAACCAAGAAACAAAAATGGAAAACTGAAACCATGTAAATGAATGGTCCGGAATTTATATTGTGTCAGGTGTGCCTCAAGTCTCTACACTTGGTCTCCTGTTGTACATAATATACACGGCAGATACTTTAAGCAAAATAGAAAATGTGAAGGTGCAAGCGTACGCTAACGACATTCAAGTTCATTCCAGCTTTCTGATCAAAGACAGAGCTGCATCAGAACTAACTCTCGAAATAAGACAGGGCAATGCGACATCTATCACATCAGAATCGACCACTGCGGAAAACGCGTAGCTGTTATCTATCAGATGACGTTTCGTCTCTTGTCCTTAATCGTCAACTTCATTTTTTTTAAGGACGCCAGATGGAATTTTTGCACAGTTTAGTTGACTTAAAAAATGACAGTTTACCAATAAAATAACCAATGCTTCAATTCCTGAGAAGCATGTTTTAAGGACATTCACATAATTTGCCCATTTATCGACAATAACTGGCGTTATTTTAGCACGGTGGAGGCGCTTAGGAAGCCGCAACATGGCTTAAGATTTTACTTGTTCCAATATGTTTTTTATCAGTTACATGAAGTAATACACTTTATTGATAATACCCATAAATAATATGAGTTAAGACCAACTATAGGAAGATTACTTTATTAGACATTTGAAGTTTTGTGATTCAAATCAGTGTCATCATATTATGTACAATATCAGATCACTATATTTGGAAATGCGTGATTTTATAATCAGAAATAAAAGCCCTATTCAACTTTGCGAGAATCCAACATGTGGTCTATAAGAAAAAACGTCATCTTAAAGTTTTAATTATGCCACCTTGTAGAGGAGAAGTAGCTGCATTTTTTATGCACTTCTTATTTTTCAAATCCTTCTTAAGAAAAGCCAGGAAAAAATAAAAACGTTTTTGATGAAATTCGGTTTCTTTCGCCTATCGTAATACTCGGAATTGCGAAACTTTCTATGTGCCATTTTCTGAGTTACCTAAATATGCATATTTGCCCTCATCCAACATCTCTTACCGTTTCTGAGATCTCAAGGGTGAAAGTCGAAGTTGAAACGCTCGGTATCAACTCAAGACAACTATCAGTACCAGAATAGATTAACCTTTCCATCACTTAATAGTCTTGGGCTATAACACGCGTATCGTCGCTAAGCTGTGTCAGTGTGTATGCCGAGCAAAGCGACATATTTGTAATTTTAATTACTGACAGTTGTAATTAAATTGTAAATAACAACGGTTCAGGTGTTTCGTAAACTGTGAGAAAATATAAGCTACGTGCGATTTAGCAATTAGCTATTACAGGTCTCGGTAGGCGTTGTACGATAGAAAAAGAATGCAAGGGAGATTATAGTACATGTCTACTGTCGAGCAGAAACTGAAAGCGCCCGGAGGTATGGTGTGCAATGTTCCATTTGAAGTTTTAGATCGACCTACTAGAAATATCATTCTAATACATCTAGGCCAAGAGGCTGCACGCCACTTAAGGTAAATTGACGGTTAATATACCTAATTTTATGTTGGATGTATTGCATGCACGTATACAGGGTGGAACAGACAATTGAAATAAATTCCTTGGTTCAACAATTGTTTGTTCAAAATTTCATTTTATTCGTGAAAATTTGATTTTTAGGTAACAACCTCAAGGAGAGGGTTAACACTTCGGAGTTTTCTAATGCTTTTTTAAGGGTTTCTTAGTAGCAGTGCATAGTTGCCGCCCACCCAGAAGGTTTATTTTGCACCACACTCTCATGTTCTAGGCACAGTCTCATTCTGAATTCTTGATGAACTTTGTAATCCTTCGAACCATGTCCCTGTTTTGTCAGAAGTCAACTTCTGTCATTTAGGTCAGGACAGTCGAAGATACCGTGCTATGCAGTTTCGCGGCAAAAAGAGTACTTGATACAGTCACCTCCCTTTTGTGTAGGTGCACTCTGAATAACCAGTGACTGGTCATAGATTTGACTATTTTTCGAAGCCCTTTCCTACTCAGTCTAAATGATACTGCTGTATTGGACCCCGAAGCAGAAGCACTTAAATTCAGTAGTTAAGAGCTAGTCTTATGATAATCGTACGTTACACGAAATGCGCATATATTGTCGATCTAAGAGGGTTCTTGTTTTAAATATGCATAACACTTTTTTTGGAAAATATTTATTTGAATCATTGATTAAGTAATTATCTGATTTTGCATTATTTATATTTATGTGCTACTTATTTAGCTACAAATTCACTGTAAATGTAAATGACCTCCTGAATTTGTTATTTCAGTTTATATACAGAATATACCGCGAATAAATAGAACAGTGATATTGATGAAATGACGGTGTAGCCGAAATTCCTCAAGATAGTCAATTTATGCATAGTAGATACTTTATCTAAAAATCCAAAATGTGTTTCATGGAAGGTAGTGGCTCAGCTAATATTATTTTCTGTAATGGTCAAAATAACCTAGATAAGGTCTTACGACCCATGTTGATATGAAATGTTCGTGTTATTTTGGGACTTGATTGCTACCCTAGATACATTTGTATTACCGTTATTTTTTAATCACCTTGTGAAGGACGAAGTTTCAAAACCATCAATGTGATATGTGTCGCTCTACTGAACTATATATACTAAGTCACCCAGTATATCCGAACACAAATATAGAAGAATTTTCTGCCTTTCAGTCTGTGTTGGCGACCTTGCTTTCGACCTTTCAGTCAGCCTATTGGATAATGCGCGAATGTGTGTATACGTATATATCATATCAGGTGATCCGGTTACTGGTCTGGTGTGGATTTATACAATATCAGTCCAGGAGCTGATACGTTTAAAGCCTGCAAAATAACTTCTATCAGTGATGAATAAGCATTTACAGAACATTTAAAAAAAATCCAACGAGCTTAAAGAGAGGTTATCACGTTTGTTTGTCCCTTTACTGACATTTTGGCCACCACGGTGACCTTTTTCAAAGTATAACAGTCGATGACAGTGGCAATATATTTTCTATCTATCTGTCTTTCACGGAGCAGTTCACTTGTTTTTTTTTTCTAAACAGTGTGGTTCAGCAACTTCCTCATTCTAGACAAAACACTCTCACTTCACTTCGTAAGACTACTTGAAACTGATAAACGAAGTATTTATGACTGAAAAAAAAACTGTACTGTATCACTTGAGGTAAAGTAACAATTTATTTACATATTCATTTAACCCTCAAACAGGTCAACCAATTACTGTTGGGAGAACCGAACTTTACCTAGCACAAACATACAGTAATAGACATATAACATTCAAGAAACTACACAATTACATAACAGATTTGCAGAGGATCTTAACAGAGGTCACATTGAATATATAATATATACGAGTATATATATATAGATAATTCTGTTTTGCAGATTGTTCAAACAGTTACACATGGAATATAAGGGAGAATAAATAAAACGCTAGAGAGGTGAGACATCCTGGTATATTGAACGACAGGCGACTTAGAACACTCTCAATCATATTGGTTGCGAATAACCTTGAACAAAAATATTAACGAGTGTGTTTTTCTTCTGCAGTCTAAACTTAGCATATTGTGTCTCTTTAATAATACATGTAGGACAGATATTTCAGAAACTTACGTTGTTTTTTTTCTAATGTGTCACAAGCTGTTACCTGGCAGAGATTCCAAAAAATTCTAGCATATTCAAGTTTGTGCTATCAAAATCATAAGAGCTGCGCAACAAAAAACCCAGACTTTTATTTACAAAATTTAGAAGATTATCACACCAAATTACTACCCTGTTAGGATTATTTTGGAGTTTTTTGCAATCAGTGCTGCTGCTAACTTGAGTATAAATATTCACATCATCGGCATATAACGGAACATTGCAATCAGTGACGCCAGCAATGTTGTTAATAAATGATAAGAAGAGCTGGTCCTAGCGATGATCCCTGTGGCACACCTGTTGGGGTTACCCTTTTTGAGATTTGAATTCCTTGAATTCCACAAATAGCTTACGGTTGGACAGATAGGATTTCACATGACATACTAAATCATTTGAAAAGTTTATTTCATTAAGTTTTACTAGCAGCAGATTACATAACCCAACTAATATCTGTATGAATTGCGAAAAGTAAATTGGGTTAGCAGTTGTGGACCTTCCTTCGATAAAACCGAGCTGAAAAGGTGATATGCTGTTATTGACACTAGCATATAAAAATTTTATCTCCGAAGCTTTGAAAAGTATTTCGCTTATGGCTTTCTATAGCAGTTATGTCACCTTTTTTTAAAAATTGGACATATTCTTGCTTCACGGCAATACTGTATATTTTTGTTAATTTGGATGCAAAGACAGACGCTCAGTCCCTCAGCCCGGAAGATGGGATACAATACCGACCACTTGGCATTTTGTCTTACATATTTTTCAATGCCTCATACACCTCAGATCGAAAAAAAATTTCATCAGTTAGGAATATATATATATATATATATAATCTATAAGATGAAAAATTAAAGCTTCCGCCTTTTGTTGGGTACTTCGACAAAATTTAAGCAAGGAGGACTCTTCATACTTTTTTTATTCTCTCTAGCGTTCAATGGTCTTTGCCATCATCATCAGGAGCTGCAATTACATTGATAACAATAGCAAGAATAGTGTAAAATGAATTTAAATTAACTTACAGTAGTATGCGAGGATGTTGCTAATCTCCCCCCCCCCGTAAATAAGAATCATGTCCACAAGTTCAGCATTTTCGTAAACATGCGCATTTTTTATTTCGTTTGAGCCACGCAACAAACACCACTATTCACTCACGCGTTACCGACTGACACATTGACGGAAAAAACAACTGAATAAAATTGTACATTGTAGTAAAAACATCGTTTCAAATTCTTTCGCTTTTTTGTTTCCGATGCGATGAACGGATAAGGCGGATTATATCCGTTGTTGCCAAACACGAGCACATAATATTATTATTGAGACAGGGCGGTACTCAAACTTCTAAAGGGCTCTAACTTTGTTACTTTAATTTTACCAGAAAAATGCTAAAGGAAAAAAGCATTTCTTTTGATCAGATCTACTCACTGTTAAAATAAATGTAATGTATGCGAGGATGTTGCTAATTATTGTTTACGTTGAGGATGTTACTGGGTGTTTCCCTCATCCTCAACCATCTATTATTTTAAATTTCTGATTACAATCTAACAATTTACAGTATGATCGTTTCAATCCGGTATATAACAAAATATGAAGCAAGATGTGATGGATTACTCTTAGGCTATATTTCCACGCAGAAAACAAGGGTAATACTAGGAATGGCAATCAGATTACTAGACTGAAAAATCGTTTTGACAGATACACAGACATACATGTTTAGCGAGAGCTACTCGAGATTTTGCAATAAACAAGATGTAGGAATTGTTAAAAACGTATAAACAGCTTAGCTTATTCTAGTATTTTAATAATTCATTATGAGGATATTTGTTCCCAATAATAAAAACGTCACCCACTACACCATTTCTTGGATTGTGACAAAATACGGTATAAGCCGACTAGCGGAAACAGCTAAAAGACAATGGCAATTATTTTCAAGTCAGTATCTTAACTCCTTTTTAGTATTAGTGTTTAGGCAATAGTGCGGAATTATCAGGGATGTCGCGGTTTTATGCTCGAAAATACTCATCAGTCCACAAGATACGTAACCAACTTCGAGTTTCATATGAACTATTAAGTTCAGCAACATGCCTACTTCCCGATTAAGCGTGGCAGAGGTTTGACCATGACACATAAAAGTGATAGTAAGAAAGATTAAAAAGGTGCAAGATCTGATGAGCGGATTACGGATGATATTACTAGCTGTTAGATATATGGTAATGAGACTAGTACAGTGGCGCATCCTATCTGGAAGAATCTGAGACTATATGGATAGTTGAAATAGTAGATTGATATTCAAGACCTAGATTCTGAGCTCGAAATAATTCCCCATCCATGGAAATATCACACTTGGGAAAGGTCCGATTGGTATCATTGTACCTGAAAGCTTAAATAACGGGTAGGTTCTGAACATGTAGTTTTTCTCATGAAAGAAACTGACTGATGTTAGTAGCAACCTGTAGGTAAGCACGTAGAACCAATACCTATGCTGTCACGTTACTGGGACGTGGCTGATTTGCAAGTGCTTTTATGTTGTTGAGATTTCAAAACACTAATATATAGGCAATTCCAGTTAAAAAGTCTTTTATATAAAAATTCATTCATTTGAATTTCATAAATCCAATTTTGGGCTATAAAAATAAGCTGTATGAAAATCTAGAGGAATGTCCAATGTACATGGCATCCCACTATAACTGACATCCCCCGTCTTATACCCCCAGACTTTTATGTAATTGTCTAGATAGTAATAAAAATTATTTAGTCTAATTTAAATGTTTTCATGCAATGTCTTTTCTGTACTGAAGGTGCCATTGGATAAACTTATATTTTTTAGAAAACCCGTATGCTTTAGGTAAACATGTGAAAATACAACAAATTTCATGCTATATATATATATATATATATATATATATTATATATATATATATATATATATATATATATATGTATAGGCGAAAACCAATAGTTCAAAGATTTGAAATTGAACATTTCAGTCTAGATACTGAAAAAACTTTGTGAGATTTTTATAGTGTGTACTCAAATTACGAGAATGTAATCATAAAAGGTACCAGGATACTACACAAAATAAAATTACAGCTATTCTAAAACAATATAGCCTTATCTCTCGGTTTTCATTACAAACAATGTTGTGTATTTTGTATGCCAAGCTAGTTAGTACTAATGTCAACGACAATCTGATTTTATTAACGCAACAATACCCAATTCGGTCTTCCAATGCATACATTAGTTAAATAAAGTAGTGAACATAAGCAAGAAAGATAAGATACGGCGCATTTCAACGATTCCGCTTGTGATAACTCTAACTAAAGCCAATTGTTACCGCATGCTTTCAAGTTCATAATACTAAATTGCTATGCCACTGACATTAAGGCGTTGTTATGATATTCAGCGCTATTCATATGGAAATCAAGCATCCCGTCCGTCTGTCTGTTGTTTATAGGTGCAATAAACACATTTAGCGAGTGCATGAGTGTATGTGACTAGATCGTAATCGGAACGATCATGATTTTTATATTCGTTCTCCTATGGGCGGTAGACTGGAGGAACAATTATATTGCTAAAATGGCCTACTACCCTCGGGCAACTACTGCGGAAAGCATGTGCAGTACTGGAAAATGAGTAAACAAAAAATCTCACATGCGTTTCCGATAAAAGTAAAACTTCCGGGTAATATTTCTATACTCCTGCACCAAATAAAGTCCCATTATTCCTTCACAACCCACTAGCGAGATCAAACACTGAACAAATGAAATAAATCTTTTTTAAAAACAAGCTTTTATAATAATAAAACATACTAAAAATTTCGCCGTATGGATCTTAGAATGAGATTATTTACTTATTCTGTTTCTCTCATGAAGCCCTTTTATTTGATCCCCATAGAGTAAGAGTGACTATGAAAATCGTAAATCGCCATTTTGTGGCGGTTGCCATATTGTATTCAGTATGACGGCCTATTGCTTATTGTGTTTCTATTATTAAATCATTTTATTTGATACCCATATCATAGGAGTGGCGATGAAAAGTTGGATTTAGACTGACGTTACTTGGCTTATTGCACTTCTCTCATAGGGGTTACTATGCAAATGAAAAATATCCATTTTGTTGCATCCGTCGCATTGGACTCAATATGGCTGACGTTAATTCATTTTGAACTATCACGCAAACCAAACGTGCGCACGAAATTTCAGCCCAATTGTTCAAGATCAACTGGTTCAAGGTTGAGTTCCAGGACTTGACCCACACATATACTAAGTGACATATAAATCCGAACACCCAGTTTAAATGGTTTTATTTTAATAAAAGTTGGTGAATGTATTTATCTTACTGTAAATAACAAGTGAAACAATTTTCAGCCTTATCAGTTGGACATTCCGGTTTTTATACTGCTTTTTGTTAATTCACTAACGCTCTAAAAATGAATATTTCAGCCGCAGTAAATAATCAACGTTGGCGGATTTTGGTTCTTGACATCCTTTACGATCGGTTACGATGCCTAGAGTACGGAGACCTGTACGATTTCGTCAACTTAGTGAGTTTGATAGGGGCCGTATAGTGGAACTTCGGGAAGCTGGACTTTCGTTTCGGGCAATTGCCGTTATAGTGGAAAGAAGTGTAGA